TTTTTTTCCTTTTTTTTTTTTTTTTTTTTTGATTTTTGATCATTCGGGTTAATGAAGATTAAACACTTACGACGTTGTTGACAATTCGACGATTGACGAATTTCCTGCCGTAATCCCCTCCAAAGTTTCACTGCGATCAAAGAATAAGCCAGGCTCATCACGATTAAGGGAACTAAAAGCAGGGTCCCGTCTAAGAAAAGATTATAAGCTCGCTCGGCGCCAACGCTCGGCCATTCCTCCCGGCACTTTTGTCTTCCTGTAAATGCACGCTATTCAACTTCTTAAATTTTCAAAATAAATGGGTACAATCCTCGAGACAAGGTGGAATATATGAGAAATTTATTGGAACGTGTGAATTTCAAAGGAAGAATTCCGATCGGATTGAGAGAAAAAAAAAAAGAAACATCTTTTCTTAGTGTTAAAAAGTTGGAGAACCATTTATTTGTCGAATTTCGATTCGAATATCTGTTCTTCTCTAATTGGGTGCAAAAAGGTGCAAGAATATTCCAGATTTTTTTTAAAATACTTGATTAGATTCTATGTTCTTTCTTTTTTTTTATAGATGTTTTATAAATTTCATCCAATCTCTCTCAAAAGTTAGAAACGTGTTTTGTAAATCGATATTGGCAAAGAAATTTTTATTTTTGTAAAAAAGACTGTAAAAACTAACGAGTTTAACACCGAGTCAACAAATTAACAAATTGTTAAAAGTGTTGTTTGAAAAATTTAATTTAAAAAATCTTACCATCGCGTATACTTTTCAACCGCGAAACAACAAGAATTGGCGCATTCCACGTAAGACTGGCTGTCCAAACCACGGCAATCATTTTGTAAGCATGAAACTGTGTTTGCCATCTTCTCGACTTCAGTGGTCTGCAGATGGCAAAGTAACGCTCCAAAGAGATGGCGACCAGTGTCCATACGCCGACAGACACCGACACGGCTGAAAAGGGAAGGGATAAAAATATTACCCTCAAATATTATCCTCAAATGAATTTTTATTAAATTCACTCACCAAAAAGAAGAATAGTTGTAATATTAAAAATAAACGATCTGAAATCGTTATTGAAATATTATCGATATTCTCCGTGGATGAAGGATATACTACATATGAAAGACATAATTTATATCTTGACTGTCGATAAACGTCAAATTATTCTCTCGATAAACACAGCATAGATAATTTAATCCCCCTTGGATACATTAATTCTCTCGTTTATATCTTTCATAATTCCTGTCATTAACTATATGTAATTATATCTATAAAATCGTTCTTTGTTGTGAGCCGAGTGTGAATACGAAATCTTGGCTACCGATAATATTCAACCGTGTCGCCAACACAGAATCAATATTTTCCCTATAACAATAGTTTATCTTTGAATAATTAATTTTCACTCGTGTGAATGGAATAAAATACAAATAATTAGGGAGGATTATTCATGTATCAATTATTCGCATAAACATCTATCGTGTTTCTCTCTTTTTTATTATTATTATTATTATTTATCAGATATGATTCGATAGAAAGGACGATCCAATGATCGACGAAAAAATAAATAAATTAACAATGATTAAATTAGAGAAATTTATTTCGCAGCAACGTCGTGTATTATTTTAATTGTATCCACCATCCATTTTATTTGGTTGTGAACAACTTCAACGTGAATTAACGATTCTTCTCGGAGGAATATGGAAACTAGTTTCTTCCTCAAATTGGGGCATTAATCTCCATTACCATCTGTGTTCTTAGCATAAGTTTTTACAAAGAGTAAAGTATGCACAGTTGGAATCAACCGTGAAATGCAAATGAAAACGATACGAAGAGTTTTAAGGCGGTGAATATTTTTTCAGAAATTCAAATTTATTCGGAACAAAATGATTCTTTTGCTTTTTTTGCATTTAACGAATGCGATGGTTTATATGAAAACGCATTCGAGATACCGCGTTCGTATCCGATTTTCTGCCAATAAATTCAATATCATCTCGAAACGTGTGATTTAACATAATCGTAATCCTAATAAATCGTGCATGCTCGTTTTTTTATGAGCGTGATAAAATTATATTTAATACTTACAAATGAACGTAGGATTGAATTTAAACAAGCTATTCATTGTCGATTTTAATTATTCCATTCCGTATTAAGAAACATTTTCTTCTTAATTAATAATTAATCAGATTTTACATTACAATTTATACAGATAAATATATGTGTATCATCGTATAATTAATATCAAATTCGATCTGTCGTGATTATTATGTAAGTAAATAAGATTAAATATATTCTATTCTATTTCTAACCATTTCTATTTTATAAAAGTTATAAAGATAAATGCAAATAAGGTACTTCTACTTTTATTCAATTTAGCTTTTCAATAATAGAAACCCTTCGAACGCACACTTCACAGAGTGTGCATATTGTTCTTCGTGCGATGAAATTCAATGTAAAAAGTATCAAGCGATTCAAGTATTCGATAAGTATTCTAAGAATGTTTTTCAATTTCGTGATGTTTAAAAATCATTGAATCGATGCAATCGATGAGTTTATATTCTATTATTCAAATATTTTAATATACACAATAAACGTTATAAAAATATTTTATATATTTGTGAAAATTAATAATTTTAAATATTTAAAATAAATCGCAATTTTAAATAGAAAGTTTATAAAACGAAACAAATACTTTAAGAATTTGGAAAGAAAAATTATCTGTTTGGCCAACAGACGTGAAAAAGTAATATCGTACTAGAAAGCAGTAACAAAAGTCGAGCATGCGCATTCTTTGAGATCGAATATATGTATAAAACATTCGATAAATTTTTATTAAAAACTTTTTCAATCATCACGATTAGAGATTCGCGTTACAATTTTTTTAAAATTTAGAATTTTTTAAAAAAGATTTTGTAAACAGAAGCAACAGAATTATAACAAATTTTACGAAATTTATGTAAAACGTATTTTTATAATGCGAAATACTTTAATACTTTCATTTTTCGGGATCGAATTTATCTAAATAAATGCAGAAAAGAAAAATTCATGTGGTTGCTGTGAAAAATATTCCGTACTCGAGTTTTTTGCAGTACAAGAGTTTCGTGGTTCGTTGCACAATTGCTTCAAGCTTTTAGAATTAATGATAGTGTTCGCAGACGCGAGATTTCATTTGAACAAAGGAAGGAAAAAAAAAATACTTCCTCGTTACTTCACATAAGATATCTTTCGAGAAGATTAATTATCTCTAACTTTAATTAATTAAATGATAGTTGAGTGAATTATATCGAAGCTAAAGTTTGCAACTTTGATGAGCCAACAATGATACTCATGCAAATTTCTATCATTCTGTCACTATTTACTAGAGAGTGATGAAAATAAGATAAAAATATACGCGAAAAGATAGTATCATTAAAATAATAATATTAAAATAATTCATAGTTACGTCTTTATTTTACTTTTGTGAAAAGACATCTGAGATCAATCTGACGAGATGCCAGAAATTATCATTCATATGATAAATCCTTTTAAATCCAAAATTCCATTAAAATTCCTTCTATATTCGTTTGAATCGTGGTTACTTTATTCTCACCACGACTATTTTATCCTATTGTTTGACCCTAACTTTCCTATTCCACTTGGCTGACCACGACAGTCTCTTGTTCTATTTGTCTACCCTATTCTACTTGTCCAGCCATGCTGTTTTATAATCTCAAATGGAAGAGGTCGGACAAGTAGAATGAACCAGCTGTGGTCAAACAAATAAATTCTTAAGAGAGAGAGAGAGAGAAAAAAACATTTAGATAAATTAAAATAGATTTAGAAATTTGACTCGAATATTTTATCTTCCACGTATAATATTACGTTACTACCTGTAAAGTAAAATATTTCATTCCGTTATATATTAAATCTTAACGCGAAATCCAACTACTACAAATTTCAATTATAATTATTATTTCCACGTTATTTGTTGCCTAAAAAAGAAAAAAAATTCAAAAATATACGTGCCTCGATATTTTCACACAGAATATAAAAATATTAATTATAATAATCATTCTGTTCTGACGATTCGATGATTCATGATGCATCAGTTTATTAAAAACGAAAAATATATAAAAATATATATTCGAAAACGCCAGATTTTCTTTCTTTACACGTAAATAATACAGGTAGCATTCTCGATCACGGAACTTCGTTTTCTGTCGGTATTCGATTACAAAACGTATTTCACTAGCGGTAGGTGATCTCGTTCCTGTTGCACTTTCCGTCTGGCTTTTCCCCAAATAGTCGTTTTCTCTTTTATCGGTCCATAAAAATTGTTCGCGTCCCGCGATAAAAGTCGATCTCTCGACACTCGTTAAACGATGCTAGAAAATCGAACCCTTTTCCCCTTCTCTTGAAAAATTATATTTTCCTTATCCGAGAGAAAATTCAATAGATAAACAACTTCGATTTCGATTCGTCAACTCGCGTTAATTATTAATTATTATCGATTTATATCCACAAGTTGATAAATGAAAAAGGAAAACTTTAATTTAAGCTACTATGGTAATATATCTGAGACGAAGTTTGGGAAACAACAGTTCGGAAACAATGATAATTTCTATTCAAGTACACGCAGCACGCCTCAACAATCTTGCCTCGCCTTGCGTTTAATTCTAAGTTAAAGGTGGCTACCTAAGCAATATAAGTTTCATAGCTTAAGCGTTAAATCACGAATAAAGAGCGACATTTGCGTGAAAAAATTCTTAAACGTTCAATATTAATATCGATATAATTAATATCGATAATATTTATAAAAAGATAAAAATTTTTTATTTCAATAATAACAATAAAAGAAAAATGTATACCAGGAATACCAGGACAAGAAAAAAGGATTATATTTTTTGTTATAGTATGTGTGTGTGTTTCATACTCATTCGTACGAAAGAAAATGATAAGAAATAGGATAAGATAAAAATAAGAAAGAACAATATATCAGCTCGAACTGCATTCCATAAGAAATCACAATGGGGACAATAATATTTTCTTTTTTTTGAAAAATCAATTTTACTTTTTTTTCAAAAAGATATATTTTCTTCTTTATATCGAAAAGAAAATTGGCAGTTGTACTTTTTTATTACTGGTAACTGAAAGAAAACAATTAATAAAATTCATACAAATTCAGAGATGGCCTCGAGTAGGAGAAACTTGTTATCAAGTCAAACAAAGGTTCAAATTTCAATACACTGTGTCCATGTTTTGAAAGAATATTTGATATTTAACTTACAGAATCGAGGAAGGCGAGTTATCGAGAGCGAAGGAAATATCGTTTTAAAAATAAATTTTAATTATTATTATTATGATATGTGACATTTTAATTTACTTAGACTGGATTATATATTATATATATATATATCACATAGAGAAAGAAATTTTCATTATATAACTTCGATTCAGTTAAGGATTAAACTCTGCACAAATAAAATTTAATCGCGTAATATAAACTCTCAATGTTTATTACCGCCTACACGTGTTTATTCAACTTACATTCAAGCTACGATTTCAACACGTAAAGTGTTTCTCCTCTTTTTCCTCATTTTAGTTGCAACTTTTTCCTCTAATTTTTTGAATTATCATCCCTACATCAAATAAATTATTTTTATTTAAAATAGAGATTTTATAGACGTTAATAACAATGGCGAAATAATTATTTTCCAAACAGAAGACGTAAAATTCATACATGTAACGCCGCCATGTTTGAATTTCATTAGATTGAATTATGCAAACTGTGGGGTAGGTTTTTCATAACCCCTATTGAATGGCCCTTTACCCAGGCCACTGTATAAATTACCATCTTCGTTGGGCAAGGTTATGCTTGAATACAAGGCTGCATACAAGTTTACAGGTATCAGATGTAATCGTTTAGGTTTATTGCAAAATTATTCAGATTATAGAAATATGTGTGTTTCTAATTTACATGTTAGATCGTGTGCATTTAGAAATTGTCAGCGAGCTTCAATTTCGAAAACGTACAATGCAGTGGACTATGATGACAGCTATCTACTAGAACGTAACTAGTTTATATTTGCTTATAATACTCATCTTGATAAATGTTCCAGGCAGTGAATTTAAATAATCAAATGTTCGGAGTTGCAATTTTAATTTTTTACTACAGAGATATTTATCGAATACTTCAAATTGATTTTATAATTGAAATTGTAAAAAAATTATTTAATTTCGAAAAAACTTTTTCAAAATTATACGTGTCATTATTATGGAATTTTTTTTTCTATAGATTAGTTTTTTTTTTTATAGATTAGTAGGATTAAAAAAGAAAAAAATCGATTCTTTAAATCAGAGAAATTCCTAATATCAACTTGCCAAAAAAAAAAAAATTATCATAGGAGTAAAAGTTAAATGAAAAAATTTTTTTAAGATTATAAAAGAAAGATAGTCCAGTTTCGTTTATTTCGAACGTGATTGTCTTTATATTATTTTTACAACCTTTCATTATTTCTTCCCTCTTTCCTTTCTTTACTTTGAGTAAAGAAACAATATTAAACTGAATGAACCAAATGAACAACTTTTCATTAAGAAAAAATATATCACAAAGTGAAATAATTAAAATAACGAGAATAGAACAAAACAATTTTAAAATATTACTGAACTGAAAACAATTCATTAAATCGTGAAATTTTTAATGTAGGAATAAATTTGTAAATGATATATATTTTCGATAAATTATATAAATAAACAAATAAATATTAGTACAATTATTATGATTGAGAGTATTATCACCTATTTACAAATTTGAATATATTTCATTGCTTTCAGATTACTTCCTATATATATATATATATATATATATATAACTTTCGATGAACATTATAATAGATACAAATTAAATTGGACGTTTAATGTTTCACAACGTTCAAAATATATCGATATGAGTACGAGATATTACGAACACCATATTTCGATGAAGTGTCAGAATAATTATAGAAATTAATTCAATCAATTAAATCAAATTTACCATCGTCGTATCAGGTGAAAATTGAATGAACTCTAATAAGCAAGGAATTAATAATAATTGTTACAGAGCTACTAATTTCGATAAAAAAAAAAAAAAAAAGAAACCTACAAACGTAAACGTGTTAAAAACGTTTATCCTTACAATATATACCAGTTCACGATATAATAATTCAGCATGAGCAAACAATCTGAAAATGCAAATTATACTCGACAACACGAAATGTTATTTGCTCCCGATCTCTATTCAACGACTGCTCCATTCGACGATTATTCAACGCACGCATCGTCCGCACAATATAACTTGATACCCGAATATTCCTCTTTTCTTCTATTTTACAATATCTTCCATTCGCGTCGGGCAACAAACAGCGCACATATTATCCCAGAATACATTTGGCCACGTCTATAAAATGAAATTTCAGATAATATTTTTCTTTTACGTCCTAACCTCAAACTCGCTCATTTTCTTCTACGCGTCGAGAGAGAGAGAGAGAGAGAGAGAGAGGAAAAACTCGCTGGATTCGCATATAATTTATAATCTATTAGAGTTCGTCAGAAGGAAAAGTAATGAATAAATTTTGCCATTTCGTTCGGTTAATGTACGATCAATCTCGAAAAGAGAGAGAACGAGAGAAAATTCGATTTCTGAAAACATAATATCAATGGAAATCAACCCCCCTCCCTGCCCCCTCTGAAGTCACTTCAAAGAGTAAATGAAAGACTTCAAAGGATACTATTAAATTCCAAACCGTATCAAATCTTCTCTACGGGGAAAGTAAATTATCCTCTTTGGTATTTTAGA